AGGAGAAGAGGCCGAGGAGGAGGATGCGACGACGGTGGAGAAGGATGAGGGGGAGGAGGAGGAGGAGGCGGTCGAAAGAGGAGGAGGACGGGGTGGACGGAGGAGCACAAGGAAGAATATGAGAACGACGGAGAGAAGGAGGGAGACGACGACCAGGAGAAGTCCCCACGACGATGCTCGCATGGCCTCCAGCATCTGGCCCAAGGGGATCTGCCCGGGCGGCCGTGGCTGGGATGCCGCCCTAGAGCGCTTCGGCGCCATGGGAAGCGAGTGGTAGGTCATAGGTCTGTTGCGCCGCCGGAGCTTCGAGGGAAAAACGGCTGCAACTGAGCCGAGCACAGCATGCGTCCAGGGCCAGCAAACAACTTCGCACTCTCGTTTGGGCAAACAGATCCCTGCATGACAACGATGTCCCATTGCCCATTGCCCATTGCCCCATTGCCTCATTGCGACTCATTGCCCAGCGGCAGCCAACCAAGATGCACACGGCCCCAAGATGCCTCAATATGCCCAAGGCGCCAAGATACCTAACGCCCCAAGATGCCTAAGGCCCACATACAATACAGACCAACCAACCAAACAACCAACCAAACAACCAGCCACCAGCCGTGCTATACGCGAGGCGCAAACGATATAGTTGTACAGCACCTCGACGATGGCGTTCGGCGGAACTCCGCCAACTCCATCATGCCCCCCCATGGCATGAAGGGCACGCGGCACGCGTCATACCAAACCCTCCCCGGGCAGATGCATCCCGCATGCCGCATGCCCTGGCGTGCCACGGACTGCGCTACTCCGAGGCTCTCAGATGCAGGGGAACCTCTGGCTATCATTGGAGGACGGCTACCAAACATAGCCGCGTCATCATGGGGCTCTGAGAAAACTATCTGAGGTGAAGCGCAAGCGGGAGCACGAGTATGCGTATGATGCGTATGCTGTTCACTGTGGGTTTGCAGCGTAGCTGTCGGAATATACCTGGGCAGCAAAGCAGGGGAATCCATGCATTGTTTGCTCCACGTCGGACGGTCGAGGCTACCAAACATAGCCGCTTCAACCTGAGATTCTGGCAACAAAAAAAGAATATGTGAATGATCCTCACTATGCGTGTGCAGCGTAGCTGTCGGAATATTCGGGATATCGCTGGGAGGAGAATCAGAAGAACGTTGACGTTGACAATCCACCTGAGGCTCTTGCAACATAAGAATGATGGTGCGTGTGATGATCACTATGAGTGTGCAGCGTAGCTGTCGGAATATAGCTGAAGAACGCTGGCAATCCACATGGGGTTCTTGCAACATCAGAATAAGCGTGTGTGTGATCATCACTATGCGTGTGCAGCGTAGCTGTCAGAATATAGCTGGGCAAATAATTTGAATAACTTTGACAATCCCTATTTTATTTGGTCAGCGTCGATCGAGCGCGGCTACCAAACATAGCCGCGTCTTCCTGTGACTCTGGCAACAGACGCTGCGCGTGTGCATGAACTGCGTAAGTGCGCAGCGTAGCTGTCGGAATATACATGGGCAAAATGACAGAGAGAAGCGGGTTACCATTGCTTTGCTTATTCATCGTAGCAGTTTGTTTTTTTTATATAAAAAACAAAAAAAAACGAGCGAAGCAGGCGATACCTTTCGCCCACAGCCAGTTGTGCATGAAGAGCTCAATTGCCGAAGTAAAACCATGCTGTGCGAACTGATCGCGCGCAAACTTAAACCCCCTCTTTTGAAAGACCGTCCAGTCCTCCGACCTCCAATGATTGCCAGAAACTTTCCTCCCCAAGAAAATATCTCAGTGGCCGCGGAGCCTCGGGCACGGGGGGGCCTCTGAGGCACCACTTGGGCCCCTCTCGTTATCATTTTGGGGCCCTCTTGAGGCCCTCTTGGGGCCCTCGCGCGGCCCTACTGGGGCACTCTTGGGCCAAAGCAGGAGGAGGAGGATGCGAAGGAGGAAGAGGAGGGGAAGGAGGAGAGGAAGAGGAGGAGGGAGAGGGCGCGCGAGCCAACCAAGGGCACGCAAAGGAGAAGGAGGAGGAAGAGGAGGAGGAGGAGACCAGGCAGAGGAGAAGTAGAAGCAGGAGGAGGTGGAGGAGAGGAGGATGAGGAAGAGAGGACGGGGAGGGGTCCAAAACTTAAGCATCGAGAATACCAAAGCACCTGCTAAACACGGTACAACGCCACGTCATGCAATGCACATGCGCGCATGATTATCCAATGCGCTTGGCACGGGCTTGCAACGCAGAACAATGCCCCACTGCAGCGCACAACACCACAATGCCTTAGCCCTACTGCGTATTGCCTATTGCCTATTCCTATTGCATATTGCCTATTGCCTATTGCTGCTCTATTGCCCCTATTGCCAAGCTATGCATTGCTATGCGTTGTGCGGCATACGGGCATACGCGATGCTATGCTGATGACTGCTGCGCTGGCCTCCCCTGTTTTATGTGGTCAAGTTCGCGGGCTCGGTGTTATCGCCATCTCTGCAACTCAACTCCAAAGCAATCGCTCGCTTCGGGCATGTTGTCGACTGCCCAAGACCGCCAATGGTCCCTGCTAGCAAACGGCAAAGATACACTGCACATCTTGATATTCTGATGTTGCGCTTTGTCTGCGCATGGCCCTGTAAACTCAAGCCATGCTAACATGTGGCCGAGTGGCCCCTTGACTGCCGCTCGATCAAATTTGCAATTGCCATCTACGCTATGAGTGGCACACTTACAGTGGGCACCGAATTTCTTCAAACGCGCATCCCACCGAATGTGGTGCCCTCCGGGCGTCTCCCATCGAGGGCAATCCTGGAGCCTGCGCCTGCCACCTGGCCCGGCCGGAGGAGGAGGCGGCTCGGCCGGAGGAGGGAGCGGGGGGGGCGGCTCGGCCGGAGCAGGAACTGGCATCGGACCTGGCATCGGAACCCCAACCGGCACCGGACCACCGGCACAAGGCGGGGCTGGAGGAACTGGCACAGGAACTGGCGGCGGTAAGCGCTTCTTCGCGCCCGGACATTGAGATAACAATTGCATTATAACTTCTTCGTTATCATCCTCGCTATCCGCATTCTCGGGCGAATCCTTGAACCCCGTCGGGCCCTTAGGCGGGCCGCCCCTCCTCCTCAGACCTCGCGGCGACCTCATCAAAGTCTTCCGAGTCCGCCAAGGCCCATGGCGCGCTCGAGCGGCGTGGTTTCGCGATCTCGGACCTACCCCCTTGAGTCCTAAAAGAAAGAAGTGGAAAGGGAGGAAGAAGGAGGGGGAGGAGGCGAAAGAGGACGAAGAGGAGGAAGAGGACGAGGAGCAAAATGGGAAATGGGGACAATGAGGCGGAGGGCGACGACGACGACAAGGGGGAAACGTCGGAACTCAGCGCAAGCTGACACGGAGCCTGCTCCTGCGCAGGAAGACCTCGGAGACCTAACAGACCGCTCCTGAACATGGCCTTCCTCGCAACACCAGGATCAACCGGGCCTGGCACGGCGGGCGTGGCCTTGTCCTTCGGAGCAGCCGCAACAAGAACAGGATGCACCTGGCAAGGGTCTGCGCGACCCAGAATTCTAACTCTGGAAAGAAAGCCTCTCTGCGACTCGGCCGTGAGCTCCCTCGCGACCACCGACGTCAACTCGGGGTCAGCCCGCAAAAGACGTTTCGCCAAGTTCCCGCTCGAATCGAAGGCCAACAAACCATCTTCGACGATATCAAATTCTAAGACGTCCCCAGAAAGGGTGGCTAAGCAAGCCACCAACATTGGCGGGTCTGAGGCACGGGTATGCCCGACGTACACGTAGCATGCGTGCCCTGCAGAAGTTTCCAAGTGCCACCACGCTCCGGCATGGAGCTCCCTGCGCGGCCCTTCATCAATGGCAAGCAGAGTGGGCATGAAAGCCCTATCATCCTCACAACACAAGCCATGGTGTTTCTGCCAGCAAGTGCGATTGTACCCGCTGCCTGTAGGAGCTGCAGGCGCGCTGTCCTTGTATAAAGGGGCCCCCAAGAGGACCCCAAGAGGGCCCTCTCATCCTTCAGAGAACCCCAAGAAGACGCCAACAGGAACCTCCCCTCCCTCCCCCCTCTCTCCCCCATCCTCCCCATCCCTCGCCCAGACGGCGCCAAGACGATTTCAATGCCCACAGAGCTCTCCAAGGACCCCCTCAGGAGGCCAAAATGGCTCTAACACGTCAAGAAAATGAATGTGTAAAAATGTCACGCGAAACGTCAATTCGAATGCTTTTTTGTTGCACGAATGCTTACTTTAAGTGATGTGCTTTCCGTCCTCCCCCATCGCCCCCCTCCACACTCCGCGCCTCCTCTTGTATTTCCACGTAGCCCTGCCACCTTCATATGCGTCTCACCTGCAACTGAGACAAGTCAATGGTTTGGGCAAGACAATACGGAACCCCATTAACCGCGCACGCGTATGCGCAGGCGATGCATAGGCATTGGCGGCATTGGGTTTATACACTCAGCCACCATGTTAAGTTGAAAACTGAATGTTCAAACCCTAATGTAAAAATTCATTCTCTGGGTACAAGAAGCAGCCATATAAACGTGGAATGCAGAAAAACCAATACAATATGCGATGCGCGCGTATGCGCACAACACAGAACTACTCAACACGCGCGCGCGGCGGCGTGCGCGTTTGAAGAGTTCTGTATTGTCCACAATAGAAAAATTGACATTCTCCTTCGGCCTCCTTAAAGAGCTCCAGAAATGTTTAATTCATTTTTTGGAATTGCAAGTGAGCTTTTCGATTATGGACAATACAGAACTCCTCAACCGCGCGCGCACGCGTATGCGCAGGCGATGCATAGGCATTCGGTTTATACACTCAGCCACCATGTCAAGTTGAAAACTGAATGTTCAAACCCTAATGTAAAAATTCATTCTCTGGGTACAAGAAGCAGCCATATGAACGTGGACTACAGAAAAACCAATACAATATGCGATGCGCGCGTACGCGCGCGCGTATGCGCACAACACAGAACTACTCAACACGCGCGAGTTTCCTCACCTCCTCGAGCACGAGGTCCTGCGATGGCGCCTGGGTGGCGGGGGCTGGAGGGGGGGCCATGGGCTGCCTCTTCTGCAACGTCGTAAGCTGGTCGCGCAGCTCCTTCGCGTACTTGAACAACTGGCCGAAGCCGTCCATTTTCCCGCTGAGCAGCATCTCAGCATCTCGTTTGCCTGTGCATCGAGCGTGGCAAGGAGCTGATAGGAGGTCGCCATGGACTCGTCGCTCGCGTCGATGGGGCGCGACGGCGCTGCGCCAGGGGGCGCGCGCACCGCGGCGGGGTCAGCGCCGCGGGCTGGCGCGGGCGCAGTTGAACACTGAAGGTTCAAACCCTAATGTAAAAATTCATTCTCTGGGTACAAGAAGCAGCCGTATAAACGCGGAATACAGAAAAACCAATACCCAATACAATATGCGATGCGCGCGTACGCGCGCGCGCATGCTCACAACACAGAACTACTCAACACGCGCGCGCGGCGGCGTGCGCGTTTGAAGAGTTCTGTATTTACCTAACAGCGAAGACTGATAGGTTTCTAGTGGGATCAAAAGAGAGCAGCAGATCACTCCACAGGGGGGTCCGGGCAGGTGTTGGGAGTTGCCGGGCGGCAGGTGCCGGGCTCGTTTTTCACCAACAGTCACACACTTCGTGCTCTTCGACTTCCCAGAACTCCATTCCCAGGCCACATTCTCAATACCCGGATGCAACAGTCACACACTTCGTGCTCTTCGAGATCCCAGAACTCCATTCCCGGGCCACATTTAGAATAACCGGATGCACAGTCACACACTTCGTGCTCTTCGACTTCCCAGAACGCCATTCCCGGGCCACATTTTGAATGCCCGGAGCCAACTGTAGGCCACTTCGTGGTCTTCGATTTCCCAGAACTCCATTCCCGGGCCACATTTTGAATGCCCGGAGCCAACTGTAGGCCACTTCGTGCTCTTCGAGTTCCCAGAACTCCATTCCCGGGCCACATTTTGAATGCCCGGAGCCAACTGTAGGCCACTTCGTGCTCTTCGAGTTCCCAGAACTCCATTCCCGGGCCACATTTTGAATGCCCGTAGCCAACTGTAGGCAACTTCGTGCTCTTCGACTTCCCAGAACTCACACTCCTGGGCCACATTTTCAGCAGGGGCAAGAGCACGACGAGGAGGAGGACGAGCAAGACCAGGAGGACGAGGACGAGCAGGAGCAGGACGAGGAGCAGGAGGAGCAGGAGAAGAAGGACGAGCAGGAGGAGGAGGAGGACGAGCAGGAGGAGGAGGACGACCAGGAGGAGGAGGACGACCAGGAAGAGGAGGAGGGAGGAGGAGGAGGAGGGGGAGGAGTACCAGGAGGAGGAGGAGGAGGAGGAGGAGGAGGAGGAGGAGGAGGAGGAGGAGGGAGGAGGAGGACGAGGACGAGGAGGAGGAGGAGGAGGGGGGGGGAGAGTACCAGGAGGAGGAGAACGAGGACCACCAGGAGGAGGAGGAGGAGGAGGAGGAGGAGGAGGAGGAGGAGGAGGAGCACCAGGAGGAGGAGGACGAGCAAGACGAGGAGGACGAGAACGAGGACGAGCAGGAGGAAGAGGAGGAGGAGGAGGAGGAGGAGGAGGACTAGGAGAGAGGAGGAGGAGGAGGAGGAGGAGGAGAGGAGGAGGAGGAGGAGGAGGAGGAGGACGAGGAGGAAGGAGGGGGGGGAGAGCACCAGGAGAGGAGAACGAGGACCACCAGGAGGAGGAGGAGGAGGAGGAGGAGGAGGAGGAAGAGCACCAGGAGGAGAGGACGAGCAAGACGAGGAGGACGAAACGAGGACGAGCAGGACAGGAGGAGGAGGAGGAGGGGAGGAGGAGCGGAGGA